ATATAAATGAATATCAGTTCGGCTATTTATATATACATATACATGTATATATATATCATATACATCTAGGGGAAGGAACTTAGCCAATAGAAGGAGCAATATGCCGGATCTGACTCAAAGGCAGGTGAGCAATTTCACAGGCGCAAACTACAGAGACGTACGCCGACTGGCTCAGCGCTCAGGCGAATGGCGTGTTGAAACAGGGGCGGCGTGTGAGGTGTTTGCCATCCCAGAGCCTCAGAACAGAAATCTTCTCAAGCCCTCAGAATGCTTCCTGCGGTTGACGGTGCACGGGAAACCCCGTAATATAGTAAGTGAGGTTGGACTCGTAAGCGATGGGTGTTTGGTGAAGTGCGGTATGTGTTGCATGGTGTATGTGGAAGATGGTACTTTTATTGAGCATTATGTTGTTGGTGTTATGTGAGGTCAAAGTATATTATGTATATAAAAGTATTATAAAATAAATATTATGTTGGTGTGGGTATGGGCCTAACGCATCACAGTGAAGGACATGGGATTAGAGAGGGCGATTAATCAATGGCCGATAAATATGGCATGTACTTTACATTGCCCATCCACAAACAGTTGTGTATATGGTAGGAGTGGGTATGACCTCACATCTTCCTACAAGCAGTTGTGTATATGGTAGGAGTGGGTATGATCTGATATCCTCCTGGTGGTGCTTCCTACAGTTAGCTGTGCGTGGGAAACCATATACCACTATAGGAGATAGCGTTGAGATAGCGTTACGGAGTGAGGGAGTGAGATGGGAACGTTTGTTTGATTAATGGTTATTGTGGCATTTGGTCTGTTGTGTGTGTGTGTATGGTAGGAGTGAGATGGGAACGTTTGTTTGGTTAATGGTTATTGTGACATTTGGTATGTTGTGTGTGTGTATATGGTAGGAGTGAGATGGGAACGTTTGTTTGATTAATGGTTATTGTGACATTTGGTCTGTTGTGTGTGTGTGTATGGTAGGAGTGAGTTTGGGCGTATACCCTCACGGTGCCGCTGCGGTCGACGGTACATGAGAAACCACGCCATAATGCAGGTAGAAGTGTAAGGGAGGGAGATCGGAAAAACGATTGTTGGCTATCTACTTGTATGTGATGTGTGGTTCATTTTGGATTAAGATCCAAATGGTGTATACGGTAGGAATGGGTATGGTTGAAAGAGTTTGCGTGCTTGATGGCGTGTAAGTCTTAAGGCTACTAGCTGAACATACGGATTATATGTAGATACAATCTCATCCTGCACAGTAACAATCTCTTACACTGAAAGGTATGCGCACATATACATGAATACGGACATAAATATATATCTAGCTCCATCATACAGGTTTGCAATATGTAGATATATACCTATGTACACACACACACGCACACACACAGACACACACATATACGCACATATA